ATGGACATTAAATATAGAGAAGTATGTATATAAAATATATTACAGTGCAACCTATAGCTATGAAAAAATATTCAAATTTGTTGTCATCACTCGTCTTTATATGTATAACCGTCCATGGATTCTTCTTCTCCAAGTTGTAACAGTATATAGGTAGTCCAAGAAAGCTTTCCTCAGGGGTCCCTCTCAATAGATTTAGAGCATACATTTTAGTATTTCATGCTTGCCAGTATGAAACATGTACACAAAGATGATCATTTAAAGTTCATTGTATCTGTTTCCCAAGCAACATATTACCGGTACTATCAGCTAATATGCCCTTAAAAAAGTGACCCAATACCTTTTTGTTGGCATGTCGGTGATTGGGACGTAGCTGTGTGTTTGAGCAAGTGTGTTTCTCTGATAGTTTAACCATTTGAAATGAATCAGTAGTATTATGTTTATTTGCCCTAATCCGCCAGTCACAATTATCCATATAGCAAACAACTTCAAACATGTCTTTTGTATATTTTTTCACTTTATATTGGAAACCTTCACTAATACTTTTCTTTCCTAAATTAAGCTTAAGTTCTTCTTTGTTTTTGAAGAGTTGGAATAAATAACACGGGAATTATAGTTGTGTGTTGTGGCCCCTTTACGATTTTTTTTGAGCTAATTCGGGCAGTGGTAAAGGATCAGGCATACCCCAATGGGTGGGTTGTGTTTCTTTATTGGAAAAATAATAAGGAAACTTTTCATGTTGTGTCTTTCGAGGTTGTGGTAAGGGATCAGTTTCCTCTTCTCCATCTTCATGATCATCACCATCAAATTCAGTGTAACTCTGAAAATGTTCTGCTGGCTCTCCATGTTGAACTATATTACCATCATCAACCAACATCATTAGTTTTGCCTCATCATTCGCAGATTCATCAACATCAACAGTAAGGTCATCCTGAACAACAACCTTACCTTTAGACTTATAATCACCCCCATGTATAGGGTCCTTGTAAGAAGAAACATGGTTGGTTGTCATAGGTAATAAATTACAAATTTGGTTACTTCCAGCACCGAAAGAACCATTTCCATAATGGTTTTCCGTGGGAAATCGATTAGTACCACTATTTATAACATTATTAACAACAAACAATTGTATTGTGTTGGGAGGCATAGTAGTAACAAAACTAAGAAAATATCTAACATCATTATCGTCAAGAATCTACATAACTATATTTGATCCAGGACACTGAAAAGATAGACGAATTTGATTTATGTGTAACATGGACTTAGAAACAACCAACGTAACTAACCCAACGAAGTTGATATCACTGGTTATATCTACACCAAAGCATGTGTAATTCGAAGCAAGAAACTGTATACATCCGTCGATACGTTGCCATTGTCATCAACTAGATACTGGAACTCGAAAAAAAAAACTCGTATATGTACTCATTTCAGAACGTTTTTTGGAAGTATCGAACACACAAATATATTAAAAAACACAAATGTATTGCATATTTGGAAGAAAAACATAGAAAAACCCTAATCGTATCTCTCCGGAACGCCACTCCGGAATGTACGGCCGTTCCGGACTGGCGTCCGGAATACAGTTTTCCAGTCTGGAAGGTACAAAGTGTCAGATTTCGGACCTCATCCTTACCAACCGGCAGCCCCTCCGGAACAATATCATAGATACTTCGGAATATCGTATTCCGAAGCACACCTCCGAAACAAAACATCGTGCTCTGGAATATGTTATTCCGGATCAAATGGTCATTTTTCCAAAAAAAAATATTGGTTATTTTTGTTAAAGATGTTTGTTTATAATGGTTAGATTACTCAATTTCCATAAAATCCACGTCAATAAATATTTGAATTAATCTGAGTCACTAATGTTTTCCTTTAGATTAAAATTTTCCATTATCCGTTGATCTTTTTCTTTTTAATTATATAAGCCGAGATATTAGAAAAACAATAAACAATTTATCACAAATGTATCCATCATGCTTTGGAATTTCGCATGTAAACTATGGTGCAATAGGACAATGATAGAAGTGATATGCGACAACCACCGAATGCGCTAAAAATCTCGAGATGAATTGTCACCGTCTTATTCGTTAGAAATTATAACACAATTCAACTACATCAAATGGACATGTGTAAACCATCAATCTTTTCTAAACTTTTTATAATTTTATCTTTAAGATTTAAAGAATAACGCTTTTATTATCTAAAATCATAGGATTAATTTGTTCATTTAGATGAACTTGCTTTTGCCTTAAACGCTCTATTTTTCAAATGACAAGACATAGGTCTTTATAAGATATGATTTATAGATATATATATTTTTTTTGACATTTACTAATAACATGGTATTATTACACTAATTAAGGATTTGTTGAGATATAGTTGTTTTCATAATTGAGTGTAAGAATTTGAACACAAATTGAACAAGGAACTACCCATGTCGAGACAAAGTACATCCTTTGATTTCACCACACTAATGGACAAGAAATCAAAAAAATGAATTTTACATAGAAAAAAAAAATAGAACAAATATTATAAGTCTCAAATTTTACACACATAGTTGGGAAATATCATAACTTTTTTTTCTTTTGGTAAAACTATAACTTTTCAGATGACCTTCAACTTTTAACATATTATCCGGTCATCCTTATTTTTTTAAATGAAAACTTCAACTTTTAATCGGTCATCCTTATTTTTTAAATGAAAAGTTTTCAGAAAACTAATAGTTTTTACCTAAAAGAAAACTTAGGCTCCAAGTGTGTAAAAGTTGAGATTTTTTTGAGAATTTGTCATTCCTTCCGTCAAATGGATTTATATACACAAAGGATATTCGTATATCTCTAAAAAAACTTATTTAACGTTTAAACATATAAATATCGTAATATAAGTCTAAAATACGTGTTATATGTACTTTATATGTATAAAATATATATTTTACTTATTTTTATATGTAAAAAAAGTATTTTATGTATAAAAAATATATTTTATATATTTGTGTATTTATAAAAATCGTATTTGATATATATATATATATATATATATATATATATATATATATATATATATATATATATATATCGTCTTTTGTATGTATTTTATGTTTATAAAATATAGGTATACAAAAAAGATTTTTATGTATAATACGGTTTTTATACATACATAAATACATAAATAAAGTTTTTATTCAAAAAAAACATTTTTTACATATAAAAATAAGTAAAAAAAAAGGTATTTTATACATTTAAAGTACACAATATGTATTTTATACTTTTATTACGATATTTATATGTTTAAATTAATTAAGTTTTTTTCTATATAAATACGAAGACCATTTGTGTATATAAATCCGTTTGATGAAATGAATGACAAATATAAAAAAAGGTTTCAAGTTTTGCACACTTGGTTAGAAAAAGCTTTAACTTTTTTTTGTAGGTAAAAACCATAAGTTTTCAAAAACCCTTCTATTTTCAAAAAATAAATAAATAAAATGGATGACCGGTTGATACTGGGTGATGACCGGATAATAGGTTAAAAATAGAAGATCATCCGAAAAGTTGTGGTTTTTACCAATAAAAAAAGGTTAAGGCTAATCCCAACTATACCACCCGGTTCCTGAGTTTAATTTAACGAGAGAACATAAAGGAAATGGGTGGAAATAAGAAGAAAATAAAAGAAATTGGTGTTCTCGAGTTTCATTAAAGGAATGAGGTGGAGGGAAATGGAATGATCACATTCCTTCCTAACTTTCTTTTACAATTTAGAGGATTTGAAAAGAAAAAACGAAATGATTATTTTTCCTTCCATAACTTGGGAACACAAAAGAAAATTTTGTTTTATTTCTTTTCTCTCATGACTTTCTTTTCTCTTCTCTTCTTTTCTTTTGTTAAACTCGAGAACTAAGCGTAAGTGTAAACCTTGGAACTTTTATGGTATTTGCCAATAAAAAGATAATCTTCTACGTTGATATAATTAACAAATTCATCATATTTTTCATCCACCGCAAAAGTAACCATCAACTTTCTAGTGATCAATTACGAGATTATAAACATAAATCGAAATTACTTCAAAATACATAAATTTGAAAAAAAAAATAATGAAATTGTTCTTATAACTTGTGATATTGTTCTTAATAATTAGAAATAAGGATTTTGCTTAAATATTTGAGGGTTATTTATTTATTTATTTATTTTGTATTTTTTTATTGTTGTGTTGAGCAATTATGCAATTTGTATCTCGATTGATTAGTTGCGAAACTGAAAGTCATTTTTGTGATAAACCAAAATAATAACCAGTTTGGTAAATGTCAAATCAAATGACGATATTAATCTAAATATTCCAAATAAAATATATTAATTATCATCATAAAACTACATTAATGAATTTAAATAAAGTTTTAATTGATAACCAAATCTAAAAGAACTTTGAAGTTCTGTAAGCTTAAACTAAAAATTTAGGGATTATTGCTTTAATTTATGACTTAATTCGGTTAATGATGTTATAGAATTGTTATCACATGATTAAACTGAGTTTTGAATCTATTACAAACATTAAAAGTCATTGAAAATGGTAGTTGATATGTTGGAATCGAATTAAGCAAAGTAGGTTGCTATTTATGTGGAAGTGTCACAATTATTAAAAATAAAAAAATAAAAATAAAAATAAGAAATGCGAATTTTGAAATATTGAATGATCAAGAAATATCTTTAACCCGGTGCCCAGAAAATAAAAATACATTCTATTGAAAAATAAAATAGTAGAATTCTTGTGGAACAAAATCAGCTTTCATTAATTTTAAAATGATTACTAAAATACACTTAGATAAATATTGAAAAAAATACTAATTACTTTAAAACAACTGGCTCTTAAATCTTGATATCTATTGTTTCCATTTTCTAATACAAACAAATATCAAAAATTGATTGGATCGTAAATTTAGAAACAATTATGTTTAAAAAGAAAGTAATATATGGGCCGGCCCATTCGCTTATGAAAAAATCAGCCCACAAAATCATTTATTTAGCCACGATAACTTAAAATAATTCCCTCAATCAAAAATCAAATAAAAGACACATATTCTTTGTTAGAGCCCACTCCCTCTACATCATCCAGAGTCCAGACCTGTTTTAACTTTCGACAATAAAACTTCCACGGAATGAATAAAAAATCATGAGTTTTAACAATATATGTAATGGATCCGTGTAGTGCTATTGACTTAAAACATTAGTCATCCGAGTTGACTCAGATATAGAGTAATAAAAGTGACAACGATAGCGATAATATTATTATGTTGGTGTCACAAGAAAAACTCATAATTTATGGTTTCAAAATTACAAATTATAATCTCTGGTTCAGTAAGAAAAATAATACATGGCCTAACCTGAGCTTTTTGTTTTCGGAAACAATGATCATGGGAGTATAGTGGCTTCCACCACCGTTTTCTTGTCATTCTGTAGATTTGGAAGGGGTGGAACCGGAATTACTTTTTCAGAAGGAATTGGTGATGCCGGAGCTTCTTTCTTTGCTGTTGGCGGAGTTGGAGTTGGGTAGGGAACTTTTTCATTTTCTTCGGTTTCTGGCTTTGATAACCCAATTTTCTCCCTGAGTTTCTTGAATTTTTCTAATATCATCTTCTTCATCTCAGTTTTACTCATGCGTGCTTCAGCTGGCTGAGGTGATGATGATAGAGTCACAGCGCTCAGAGATCCAGCAGTTAAAAACAATGCCAAATTTCTTCGTGACACCTTCGTAGACACTTCTAACTTTTCAATTTCTTTAACCCTAACCTGCTGCATCATTTGGGAATGAATTTATAAAAATAGAAGTAGAGTCTGTAAAAAGGAATTGCAATATTCCTATAATTTTCAAATGTTTCAAAAGCTAAATCTAACTAAACGTTGATATGATTTTTGAAGTTAATCCGTTTGACATAGAAATGAAACTGAAATTGGCAACAATGCCTCAAGTATCAAGTATCAACTACCTTTTTGCAAACATACACACATAGAACATCGAGATCAACATAGCAATATGAAAACGGAAATTAAGATGAAAACAGAGTTAATTCCGTTAAACTGTTAAGTGTTTGTAGAGCTGTGTGTTACATCGTATATCAATCAATGTATAGAATATTCAGATATTAATCAGATCACAAGGCTTAGGGAGTTAGGGTTTATGAAGCAGAAAAACCTGAAGAGATATAGTAGGTGGTTTGACAAAAGCAGCAGCTAGCCCTTTGGCATTAGATCCGACTGATTCCGTCACCGGAGGGAGAGATCCGGCCATCATTTTAACGGTTAACGAAGACATTTAGTTGCCGGGAATCGAAACCGGTAGTTATGATTAGCTGGTCTGACTGTGGAGTTGGAAGTCGGTAAGAGTGATTTGAATTGGGACTCGGAAAATCGGATCGAAACAAAAGCTGGAGGTAGGTGTTCTACAGAAGTTCTAATTTGCAATCTGGACCTTCAGGTTTCACCTTTTGTTATAAATTGCCCTACTCCTACTACAAATTTCGATAACTGTATTTGGTCTTCTCATTTATACATCATACCTACTTACATACACAGTTACACACATATACATGGGAGGTGTACAAATTCCTACCTTGAAATTCTAAATAACAAAGATAAAATATTATAAGTCGATTATACCTCTTAAAAAATGAGTCAACTATCATATTATTAAATTATTTTTGAGAGAGGTTGTCATAAGCTCACATATATCAAGTTATCAACAAATATAAAATGCAAATCAAAGACATAGTCTTTGTATGTAACATTGTTTTCAAGACATGTGTTTGGTGATATTCTCACTAAAAATGCAAATTGTAAAATATTTATTTATTTAACAACTTACCACTTTTCTGCATTGACCATTTTTAATCAACCAATGTTTTTCAACTTAATAAATATTTTGAACCAGTCGTATAATATGTTTAGTTTAGTCAAATTAGTTGTCGAAATCGTTTGAGATGTTGGTAACCATATATACAAATGAATATTTTTTTTATTTAAATCGGCACCTCAATAAACAGATTGCTATGACGAATATTACCTTAACATCTTTTTTTCTTAACAACTAACTGAATTTTATTTAGTTAAAACTTGCAAAAAAAAAACTCTGCTATTTAATTAAAACTTTTGCACGGTTGCATGTTGGGCGATATGGAGTCATTGGAACTCCGTGGTGTTTACTGATGTGGAGTCTGGATCTAAACTGATTATAGATGTCATTGTTGATAATTTGTTTGATTGGGTTGTTAGTCAGAAATAAGAAAGCTTTGATTAATTGGGTTGATTGGTTACAAAACCCGATTTTAAATTCTCCCACGTAAAGTTTTGCTAGCTATTATACGATATACTACAAAAATTTCTATTCGATGGACCAAAAAGAACAATCGAAAAAAGCTCGACCAATACGGTATATCTCTTTGAATCCTGAATATGGTGATACCCCCGGTTGTACTAATCTACATATATCTTTCTCCGTTACTAGTTATAATTTGAGCCATGAGCTTAAGAAAATTTGACAATGTTCATATATTGTTATGCTATATTTAATCTATGAGTATGTCTGGGTACACCTTTCAGGATCATGTATACCCTTCAAGGTTCTAAATAGCTTGAGGTGTGGTATGAGGGGAATATCAATCCTTAAGTTTTACGATAATTATAAGACACAACATTTTTCAAAACATGATTTAAAGCATAATTTTTTTATATAATTTATAATTATATTATATACATATATAAATGTTTTCTACTATTACTCCATGATATTGAACAACTTGAATAAATCCAACAAAAAATATATGATATAATTATAGATTTATATCAAATAGATATGCAATGAGATATGGTGTAACAATTTCCGTTGAAAGCCACTTTCCAAGACTGATCGAGTTGGAAGTTCAAAAGGATTGTTTGATAGCTGATAGATCGAGGGATAGACACATGGACCTTGATGACGTATCATGGTTAAATGCCCAAGCTTCGACTATGCTAGTATGCTTTAATCCCTAACAAAAAGAGACAGGTGGGGTGGCAGTTGGAACCTAAAGGTAGTTTTTCAATTGCTTCCTTAAGGAAGGCTATCAAGTATGTACATAGTGTGGAACTATGGATGCTCCCTTTCTGTTAAATGGGTAATAGTCTATCTTCTAGCTTCTATTAGTATGAACTTGTTAAGAGGGTGTTTGGATAAATTAACTTATAGCTTATTAGATTATAGTGGTGTGAGAAAGCAGTTTTTGCAAAAGTGTTTGGATAAGCAATAAGCTATAAGCTTTAAGCAGTGAGGGGGAAGCTTTTTAAGAGTAGCTTATTTAGCTTCTTCCCACCACAATAAGCTGATTTTTAATGTTTTCTATTCTAACACTTCAACTTAACTTATAGCGGTGGGGATAAACAATAAGCTATAAGCTCTCTCTTTTTCCCCTATCCAAACACCCTCTAAGTCTAAAATCTTAACAAAACAAATGAATTTACTAATTGAGAGGGAGTAAGGTACCAATTCTATAGCATGACTAAGTGGATGTTTGGGATTGCTTCTAAGAATAACTTATTAGTTTATTAGCTTTTTGAAAAACAAATAAACTAAAAAAGTGTTTAGGTATTTATAAATAGCTTTTGAAACAGTTTTTTGAAGCTTTTTACATTGGCAAAATATAGAGTTTTCTAAAAGCTATAGAATCCTAGCTTTTCAGTTTTTCTTAAAAACCTTTTTTAAAAACTTAGCTTTAATTTTACCCCTAAAAAACTAAACCAAACACTTTTTAAAACTAACTTATTAAAAACTAACTTATTAGCTTTCAACATTTCATACCACAAAAACTAATTCAAATACTTTTTAAAAACTGTTTTTCCAAAAAGTAATAAGCCAATAAACATTTTTTCTAAAAACACTTTTGTGATTAAAAAAAAACACCCTAAATATCGTGCTTTAGCTTATGTGCTATATATGAATTGGTATCGTTTTCCTGTCATTAATAAACCTTGATGTTTTGCCTAACGTAAGAGTAATTAATGTTAGCCCCGATCAGCCCTCAACTTAAATACACCACGTAGAATTTTGCTCCCCTACATTCATGTTGCCAAAAAAAAAATTCATAAAGAAATGGTGACTACAAGGTAAAAGCTATGAGGAATAGATTGGACAAATCCGCCAGATGGACATTAGGAGGTTTGAATGGCCAAAAGAAGTACCCATCAAAGTCACACCATTCGTATGGAAAGCTAAACAGGGACGTATACCAACATCAGTGACCATCTCCAATAGGGGTATAACAGTAAACTCAATAATTTGTTCTCAATGTGGCGAAAAGGAGGAGACGGCGGATCATGTATTGGTTGAATGCACATTTGCTAAATCTGTCATGAAATGGATCTTAAAATGGTGTCAGGTACCCTTTGCAGACCTTACGACAGTACATGATTTTATAGATTATGCGTCAAACTGGGGCAATTGCCCGAAAAAAAAAAAGCGAAGATTATTGGGGATTTGTTATGGATACTTATGGAGTATTTGGAAGACAATAAATGACAGATTATTCAACAACACGAGGATGCAACCAACAAAAGTGGCGGATATCATCATATCTACAATGTATACGTGGGTCAAATACAGGGGGAAAACAGAGGCGATTAGTTAGGCGGACTGGTGTACTAACCCTTTTATAGGGTTGTAGCTATCTTTTTTTTGCGTTTGTTTCTTTTACTTGTTGTATCTCCTAGCTTCTTGCTGGGTTGTTTACCATGTTTTTCTTTAATTTATATGCCTCTTATTTGCCGGTTCAAAAAAAAAAAAAATGATAAAAAAAAAATCATTTGGATAGAATTTTGCCAAATTTGTATTCAAATAGATAAGATAGAACAGAGAATTTTGATTTATATAATATCACTCAATGTAAAACATGGTATTATCTATTATGTCATTATTCAGTAAAGGATCATAATTTTGTATCAAACTATGCACTGTAAATGGTTTTTTAATATTTTACTTTTTACACTATCAAATATTATATTTTATTTTAAAATATGCACAAACATACTTTGTGAAACACCCACCGTTATGGCGTTATCATAATTTACTCCCAAGTCAAGCCAAAAAAAACGACACTTAACTAGAGACCACTTTATAAATATTCATTCAACAAAGCACCACTATTTATCCATTTAATTAGTTTACTTTATCATATAATTATGCAACCATGCGAACCACATTGAAATTTTAAATGGACTTTTATATATACATCTTACCCACTAAATTATTTCTACCGTAACTTAAAAAAAAATTAAAAAAATTTGAATTTAGCAATCCAACTTTGATTTTGGTCGTTAGTCGTACATGAACATGCTCAAGAACATAAAAGAAAAACAAATTAGAGCAAAAAAATTCGATATATATATTTACAAAAAAAAAGGATAAAGAATATATAATCTCAATTATGATTATAATTTACTACAATTACTTGTGTTCGAAGCAACGTCTTGTAGCCGAAGAGATTAGGGGGAAAAAACTCAAAAGTTATGAGTTCTTGAAAACGAAGAAAAAAATCTACATAATTAAAGTTTGTAAAAGAAAATAAGAAAAGCTTGTACAAACCCTAAAAGCGATTATGGACAATAGCTTTGGTATTCTTGAGTAGTTACAAACTCGGTTTGCTTGTAAAGATCAATAGAGTTATGACATAGAGATGGACCAGAAGGTGGCACCGGCCCTCGTGGGAGTTTACTCTTCAATAATCCTGCGTACCTGTCAAACCGATGATCTTCCTTGATCAGTGCCCTTGTTTCACCCGTTCTTAACATTGAAGCCAATAGCGATAATATGATCATTACAATAAGAACACGCTTTAGACATCTCAAAACCATTCTTCAATTCTCTCTTCTCTTCTTCTTCTTCTTCTCCTTATCAATGATATGGATTGAGGCTCTTGAGCATGCCGGTATAAATACGTGTTTGTGTCTCTATATATATTTTATAGAAACAGAATGTAGGCGGTGTGGTTGAATCCAAATGCCTTGTGTCTTTATGGATCCAACTATGAGAGTGGTTGACATAAACGATTGTATGTATGTGTGTATATATGCATGTTTCTGTCTCTATATATATGCGTCTCTGTGTGTGTGTGTGTGTGTGTGTGTGTGAGAGAGAGAGAGAGAGAGAGAGAGAGAGAGAGAGAGAGAGAGAGAGAGAGAGAAAGAGAGAGAGATGGTATATGAATAGGAATAGCATGGTTGAATGAATATGAACGCCGGTCGCATTCGACTCGTTAAAATGTATTACACCACGACTTTGATTTTTTCTGGTTTGTTTTTAAATTTGACTTTGAAAATGATGTTAAGATGGTGAATTTAATGATGATGGTTGCAGCCAAATGAGACAAAGAGAATGCGAAGATTTAAACCGTTACACATTCATTTTGCAAATTGAAAATATATATACACAGAACTTTGAAAATATATATAC